CCCCCCCCCGGGCCTCCCCCAAGCCAGCCGCTGATCGGTTTCAGCCCAGCTGCTCTTGGGGACGCCTGGGACAGAGCAGCTGGGGTGCTACCGGGTTGGTCCCGCAGCGCTGAGGGGTGGTGCTACGGGACCAACCCGGCAGCACCCCACCTGCTCTGCCCCGGGATTCCTGGAATCAGCCGCTGGTCAGTTTCAGCAGTGACTGAATCAGGGAAGCCAGGCGCAGAGCAGCTCCAATTGTCTGGCTGCTCGGAGCACTTGCAGGTTCCTGATGGTGCTGGACTATCAGGAGTGCCGGAGCATTGGATGCCGGACAAATGGAGTTTTACTGTATATTGTGGGGCCATGTAGGTACCCATAGCAGTGCTGCTACTTAAAGATATAAATTGTCCCCAAATTGTAAAGAAGCAGTTTCTCTATCATGCATTCTGTCTGATTTGTCAGAGCAGGGAATGCTGAAGGAGAATTGATAAAGATGGGGGGGCTCCCAACCCAAAAAAGATTCCCCACCCTTATTCTAGGGACTCAGAGCAGCTGCATCAAGAATGAAAGGTTATTTGAAAAGAACCAGAACTGTCACCCCTCTCCTCTAGTGAAAAATAAAACAGTTATAGTAAACCATTTTATTTATAAGTATTTATTTATTTTCAAAACTACCTTACTTGTAGTGTGAAACTATATTAAATTTCACGTGTGTGTGACATTTGAAATGATTAGAGGGATCTCAAAAAAATATTAGAATCTCTGGAAATCTCTTCTAGACATCTGAGTGGAAATCTCTAAAGAGTGAGTAACGTACCTATACATTTAAAATGTATTCTTCTTGAATTAATCTACATTTGAAACTGATTTTGTGAATTGTGCTCCCTAATTAAAGCCGCATCCACAATACCTCCATAATATAAATTTTTAAACATTTTTGTGTGGCCATGCTGATTTAAAAGGGCCCTAAGTTCCTAATGAGGTTGCTGCAACTTCAGCTGCAGTAGCAGCTGGAGCCCTGGGTTCCTCAAAATCACTACCAGAGTTCCAGAGACACATAATCAAGACACTGAACAGCTGGCTGGGACTATCCCTAGCTCTGTCCCTTCTGCCCAAACCCCACACCTGCAGGCCAAGAACCACCCCCAGCCTTGACCAGAGCTTGGCAAAGTCTGTCTTTAGCCCTGATAGTGGCTGTATCTAAATGAGCAAGGATACCCAAATCTGTAAATGCAGTAGCCATACTCAGATTTTTATTTTTTCAGCTAAGCAGGTTTTAAATAATCATTTTCTTAAAATCTGAATTGTAGGGACAGAAAAGCATAACGAGAAAAGCATGGAAATATTGAAATTGAATTGATTTAGCAATTTTTTGTTTACTTGCATCACTCAGTACTTCCATATAAAAATAAATATGATTTATCTTTAACCCAATTTAAAACACACAGTTTTGACAGATATTGTCATCAAATGCATAAATATGTTCTTGTTTCCTCATTACGTATACTATCTGTCATCTTTAAATCATACAATTATACTGCTAAATTGTTTGATAGACAATAAAAGAGCTTGATTAGAAAGTAACTGAAAAAAATTACTAGAGTATGTATAATTCAAGTAACTAAGGGAGCTCATCCTAATGCTTTTGGGGAGGGGAATCCAGTTTTTGGGTGTATCTGCTATTGTTAGCAACAAAGATACTGTAGTCAAGGAGTTAAAAAACTATTACTGACCTATTGGGAAATGGTCATTTTGCATAAGTTGTTTAAACTAGAGATTTGGTTAGTTTGCTTCTTTGTGTGATTTTCTAGCCACTTGGTAGTGTCTTAATATCTATAACTCATTTTAAAAAAATGCATTCATGCCTCGTCTAGGTAAAGTCATAAGTACTCTTTGACTTGTAAAAGAAATTATATTTAGACAAGAGGGAAAATATTATTAACACTGTGAAATTAATGTCCTGACTTCTGCTGTTCTGCAACTAGGACGCCATTATGGAGCAGTAACATGTGAGGGATGCAAGGGATTCTTTAAAAGAAGCATACGAAAGAATTTAGTTTATTCATGCCGAGGGGCAAAAGACTGTGTTATTAACAAACATCATCGAAACCGATGTCAGTACTGTAGGCTGCAGAGATGCATCGCGTTTGGAATGAAACAGGACTGTAAGTATAAGAAAGATTTATAAATCTGGTAGGGTAAAAATATAGATGCATATACTACAGTATTTTCTCCATATGTATTAGGCATTCATGAGTGTGCTATGGAGAATATACTGTAATATACATGCAAATCAGGCTTTATTACTGTTAAGAAATAGTTAGATCATCTTCTCAAAGAATTATAAAAGTCCATTGTAACTCAAACTCTGAATTTTGACAGTTTGTCAAGGACTGAAATAACCTTTAAAAAACACAGCACAGAGTAAATAAGAATAAAGTATTATTCCTAGATGGGTGGCATCCATTTTCAGTGATAAATTGATTTGTAAATTTAGCATCTGAAGAAATTTTACATAACTCTACCTTCCTCTCATTTTGCCCGTCAATCATGGTAGCAGCAGTTTCTGCACTCTGCCTAGTATGCCCCTCAAAGGGAGGTATCTACTAGGCAGTGATTAGCAGGAACATATGACTTAATTTTTGCAGATCTAAGTTCTTTTATGACATTTCCTTTTGCTGGCAGATTTTAAATATGTACATTCCAATAAACAGTGTACTTTTAAAAAAAATTATGGATTAATGTGGTTGTTTATTTTAATCCATCCTTTTTGTGACTTTTATGGTTTCACTGCCTTAAAATAGCCCCACAAAAGGAATCCCAAACTTATGCCAAGCTTTATGTACTTATATGTAGGCTGTTATATTATAATCACTAGTGAGTAGTAGCTTTAAGGTAGCCAGATGCATTGATACCTATTTTAATTCATGCATTGGGTTGAACCTATGATTTCAGGAGTGGGTGACCACTCTCTTCCATTGTATAACTTGATTGAAGTAAATGGAGTTACACTATCTTAATATTCATATAATAGTTGGGAGTATAAGCTGGTACAGGCAGTCCCCGAGTTACGCGGATCCGACTTACGTCGGATCCGCAGTTACAAACGGGACTTTTCTCGCCCCGGAAGACGGGAGTGGTGGGATGTCCAGATGCGCCGCAGTCCGCCCCCCCATCCTCCGGGGCGAGAAAAGCTGCTCCCCATCTCCCTGGTCTGCAGGGAGATGGGGAGCAAAGCCTTGGAGCACGCCCGCAGCAGGACAGCCCGGGCACGCTTGAGCTGTCCCCCTGCGGGCGTGCTCCGCGGCTTTGCTCCCTGTCTCCCTGGTCTGCAGACCAGGGAGACGGAGCAAAGCCATGGAGGACGCAGGCGGGCCCGCCACCCGCGTCCAC